TTCATTTACTTAAAAATAAGTACTCAAGCAAAATATGAAATAATTTTTTTAATGGTTTAATTTATCTTATTTTGCTTCACCTTGCTATTGATGTCTGAACCCTCTGTTTACTTAATTAATAGCAATTTAATCATTTATAATAAAATATAATTTAAATGAATAATGCTTTCTATTTTAGAATTAAAATATTTAAAGTATCACATTTGAGCAATAACACAGGACACTAAATAGTTACTGCCCTTTTATTTGTGCCTTTATTCAGTATAAAGACCAGATCAAGTTTTTTTTTTTCAACATCTTTACTTCCAATAAGGCTGCAAGCAACCACTAATTAGTGTTGGAAGTTACTGGAAGAGAAAAGATGAAGATTGTAGAGCAAGATAACGATTGACAGACGACTTGAAAGATTGCAAATTATATGAATCAGGAAAGCAAGATGAAGGAAGCAAATTCCAAAGAACTGATGTTCGAGGAAAAAAACTAGACGAATAAAAATTTTTGGAGCACTTAGGAACAGTAACAGAAAAAGGATGAGACTTAATTGAATGACGAGTAACACGAGAATAAATTTTAGTAGATGGCACAAGAGATGCTAGCTCTTTAGAGCAGTGCCCATTATAGTATTTGTAGAAAAGAGAAAGAGAAGCAACATTACGACGATGTGACAGAGGTTGAAGGTTGGCTGCAAGAGCAGGTCCAACTATGTTTACAATGTATTTTTGCACCTAGAAGATCCGCCCCAGATATGGCAACAGTATTCCATACAAGGTCGGATTTGAGATTTATAGAGATAGAGAATAGAATCCAGAGTAAGAAAGTGTCCAGCTCAATAAAGAGATGCAACTTTAGCAGATGCTAATTTTGCAACGGATTTGATATAAGGTTTCCAAGAAAGATCAGAAGTGAGAGATAATCCTAGAAGATGAAGGGTAGATGACTCATCAAGTACATTAACGTTCGTAAATATAGGAAGGTTTAAATTATAACGATTGGCTGAAAAAAATTAAGTTTTATCTGAATTAAAGTTCACCAGCCACTGTGAGCCCCATGCTGTAGCAGAAGTGAGATGCTTTTCAAGTTCAAATGCCCCCTGCAAGCAATCAGAGGGAGTTGGCTTCTTATCGTGACAAGAATAAATGGTAGTATCATCAGCAAACAATGCCACCTTAGATGTGAGAATATCTGGAAGATCGTTACTGTATATTAAAAAGAATATAGGGCCAAGGATTGAACCTTGAGGAACCCCTGAGGTTACAGAATAAGAAAAAGAGTGCTGTCCATCAAGGACAACTTTTATACTATGATTGGAAAGAAAGGATTCAATAATCTTAAAGATGTTTTCAGATACACTGTAGAAGAAAGCTTATGGAGAAGACCAGCATGCCAAACTTTATCAAACGCTTTAGAAATGTCAAAAGCAATGGCCTTAACCTTTATCTAATGCACAATAAAAGTTAAGGGCAACCAACCATATCTTTATCTTTATTAAAAAATAACTTATAATTAGTTGCACCCCTCTTATGGGCTAGTAAACAGGTTGGAGGGGCAATGATTTCCAATAATGCATTCGACCTTTGATAATTGAAAAATAGTATTAATTAAAAATGCTGCCATTTTTATTGTGAACACAACAAGTTAAAAATGTCTAACGTTATTATATGTTATTAATCTTAGATCACCACAATGACTTTAAAAAATTTACAAGCATCTCAAAATGGCTAAAAATTTGACTTTTTAGGCAAATGGGCTATATGTTTTTAGATATATTTGAGTTCTAAACAGCAACAAGTTGCTTATATTTATATTAATATATACTTAGTTCCAAAATAAAATATAGTGGTTTTTCTATATTACTTTTTGTGCATTTATTTTTAAAAAACTTTAGTTAAAAAAACCTACTGTACTTTTATTCTAAAGTAGGTCAATCAAAGTCAAAAAAACAATCAAAATTTAAACTTCTCTAATACAAATGCATATCTACAAAACTTATGAAATTATTTGTTAATATAATTATTCATACAAATACATACATAAGTAATACCGTGTTAATATTATCATGAGATGGTGGAGCCTTTCGAGTGGGAGATAGCATACAAAAAGTATCCATTTTTTCTCGTGTAGTATCAGGTCCTAAAGCCTATATAAACATTTGATAAATATATATTATAAATAAATCATTAAATTGTAAGATAATTAATATTGCAATTACAGTTATGTTGCAACAGAATAAAAAAAACATTCTTGCCTTTTGCATATTGCTGCATTTTCTACATTTTAAATGATTTTTCTAATAAGTTCTTTAAAATTTTTTTTTTTTTAATGCTATATAATTTAAGTTAGACAGTTACATTTCCCAGTTCTGTCACTGAGAAAACTGCATCATTTACAAAAATTAAAACATAGTTTATAAATGTTGGTGCATTTAACTATGTATTTAAATATGGTTTATTTTTTTAACTATGTATTTGAATATGATTTATTTTTTTAACTATGTATTTAAATATGGTTTATTTTTTTAACTATGCATTTAAATGTTTTCTTTTTTTTAACTATGTATTTGAATATGGTTTATTTTTTTACAAAGTTAAGTATGTTAACTTTGTAAAAAATATTTTTGCATTTATTTGATTATTGCTTTTTCCTCGTATGGTTTCCTCATATAATTTCTTAAGTAGCTAGCTTACATTTTCTAGGTGTTACTCAGCACACCCATGGATTGTTTCTAAAGTTTTAATGTGAAATCTTATAATGATGATTATTAAGGTTTATTAACTAAATCAAGATAAGTAAAGGTATCCTTAATAATACATAATAGCTGGCATCATTTGATTTAAAAATACCTAACACCTCATATTTTTAAAAATTCCAATGTAATAACAACATAGTGTTTATTTACTAGTTTATTACTCATAAAGTATTGCTTTTTATTTGTGTAACTACTGTATTTATAATTAATAGTATTTATTCTACAAATACAATATATAGTAAACTATAACCTAAACTATTTTTAGTTTAATTGTAAATATAAACAGTTTTTTTTTTTTTCAATTTCTGAAAACATCTTCCATTTTTACTTTTAAAGCAGTGAAATACAATCAAAAAAAACATTTTAGCTTGAATTTGTAATCTCTGCTAATTTGACTATTAAACTGGGGTCAAAGCCAGTATTAAATTAGATAAAATTGCCAAAATTATTTAGGCTAAAGCCAAAATGATTTTTTCTTTAATTAAAAGGTATTTTTTTAAATCTCCATTCTCAGGTCTTTTAAAAAAGGTTCAAGAAGTATTTCTTTATTATTCCACAATTTTAACTGTCCTACAAATATTCTAAATATGTCATTTTTATGAACATTTTAAACATAAATATAAACATTTTCTCAAACCTTGCTAAACTTTTATTGAGATAATCAACTTTGCGACTTGTTTTTTAGACAACCCTAATCACTTACCTTCACTCCTTGATTTATATTCTGTCTCTGACCCTAACTTATGTTCAGTTTGTCCTTGTTCTCCTCTAAATGGTTCTGATTGTGCAATCTAAACCTTTCATCTTCTTTGTTGGACTCACATCATCTTTGTTCTTTGTTGGACTTCTTTGTTGGACTCACATCATCGCACTACTTACTACTACCCTAAACGTGACTAGGATTCTTTTCATAATTTTTTTCATGATAGTCCTTGGGCTGATGTCTTTTCTCTCTCCACTGATATGTGCCACCTATATAACTTCCTGAATCCAGGCAGGTATGAAAGCTTTTATTCCTTCACATTGGTTCCATGTCAAGCATCACTCTACTCCATGGTTTTTACCTTCTTGTGCAGCTTCTACATCAAATAGTAACCATTTTTTTCATCTTTTTCAAAAAAAACTACTCTCTTGAGAACAAACAAAGTTCTTTGCAAATAGTTCTTGAGATTTGCAAAGAACTTTTCTAATCTTTTGAATCTTATGACCTTTCCAGTTTAAATGGATTAAAATCTTTCCAGTTAAACTGGATTAAAATCTTTCCAGTTAAACTTGATTAACAATGGGTAAACCTGTTTAACTAGAATAGCACACTGCTATTTCAGTTAAAAAGGTTGTGGTCCAGACATTATTTTTGACAAAAAATCTTCTTTTTTTGATGGCTTAGATCAGACCGATCTTGAATCTGATCTCACTTCTGTAACAGATTGGGGCTTGCAGTGGATTGTGAATTTTAACTCTAACAAAACTCAGCTATTTACTGCAAACAACAATCGCAACACTGTCAACATTCTTATAGCAATGCAACCCTCTCACTGAGTTCTCTTCCTTATGTCTTCTTATATTATTGTTTACTACTAACCTCTCATAGAAACCATTGATTACAAAGATAGCATCAAGTTTCTTGTATCATCTGCTTGTTTCTCTTTATTGTACTCGCCATTATCTAATGCCTGATTCTACAAATCTCTTATCTCTACAAATACTTGAGGGAATTTCTTAGTACCAAACAACATTTGCTGCTCAGAATTTATTTGCGAAACTCAATGTTTTGTAATGTTTAAAATTAAATTTGGTTAAAAAATGTTGACAAAATAATAATACGAAAATCTATATTATTATTTCAAATAAAATATAATAAGAATAATTATGTAATTATAGAAAAATAATATACATAAAAAATTATATATAGATCAAACAGAAATTGCTCGAGAGATTTTAAATCTTTATCTGAACTCCTAGAATTTCAATTTAGGTACTTCAGTAGCCTTGAAGGGGATTTCCATATACAGGATATTTTCCATGGAACATAACAGAAAAGACAAGAAAACACTTCAAGCATGAGCAACTGAAATGTTTTTTGTTAAATGATTTGATAATTTTCTCTTCTGTTTAATTCTGTGGTAAATTTCCTGTAAGTGGAAATCTGCCTTTAGATGTCATTATAGAAACTTGGAGTCTATCATTTTTAAATTCCTTTTTAAGTCCATTTGTATTATAAGGTTAACAGGACTACATTGAATGCCATAAAGTTCAGACATGGAATTATGTTCAAAAAAGAAACTCTAAAAATTTAAAGCACTTCATACTTCTAGTAATTCCCAACTTAATAGAGGTAGTTTCAGCCTTGTTGATAGTGAACCAAATTTAAAAAAAAAACTTTTCTCTTATATTCAATGAGTCATAAAATGTTTTCATATATTTATATAATTAATGATGCATTTATTTCTAAAAAAATTTGAATTCCTACCATTACCGTACCGTTTGAAAGTCATTCAACTCATCAAGCATTTTATCAATAGCTGCATCAGCATCTGTAAAATCAAGCTCATCTTCATCAACAATGACAACATCAAGTCCATCTTCACTTTCATATGATTCAAATTCTATATCATCAATTAAAGAAGAAGTATTAGCTATCAGGTCATCTAACGATTCAGGAGGCGGTGGTAGTGGCATAGAATCATCAGAACTATTTAACTCATTAATCAGATCTGGAGGAGGACTTGGTAGCTCATTTGAAAAAGTTTCTTCTACCCAGAGCATTTTTAAACTAACCTTAAAAAAATAAAAATAAAGTATATATTTTTGCATGGAAAAGTATATACATAATGGTTTAAACAATTAACATTAAACCCAAAACTATTTGGGTTGTAGCAGTTAGGTTTAGGTTTTTTTTTTTTTTAATTCAAACTTTTTAATATAATAAATATGATTTTTAGGTAAATAAAAAATTATAATATCAAAAAAAAAAAAACATTAAAATATTTACCATATTACATCTGATGCTTGTTACTTATTTTATATAGTTAGAAAAGGCTCATCAAAAAATAGTTGATTAAAAAGTTGGGAATTTAAAGACACGATGAAAAGATTCATTAAGTAATAATTCAATGGATCAGAATATTATTTGACTTCAAAAATTTTATATTTATTTGACTTATAAAATATTATGTTAATATTTTATAAGTCAAATATTTTGAACTGTAAAAAATATCAGTTGGATTTTTTAAATAACTATTTATATTTTTCAGTTGGATTTTTTAAATAACTATAAACATAATACACATGTTTATAGTTATTTAATTTTAATTAATTATCAAAAATTAACTTCAATTAATGATTTTGGAAAAATATATATGCGTTGGTATACAAACGGTATAATACTTTGCAATATATCCTATAATTGTAACATAAAAAAAAAAAGCAACATAATTTTATAAGAACTTTTATAAGCCTCATGAAATCTTTTTAATTTTTTCCAATTTTTTGTTTCAGTGAATATGAATATGAATACTTTTAAAGCAAGCTTTATAGGTTTGCTTGAAAGATAAAAAATTCTGCAAATTAGCTGTTAACAACCCTTTTTTATTTAAAGCTTTGTAATTTTTAATTATCTAGGTTTTCATTAAATTGATGCAAAAGTAAGTTAAATTAATGTGAAGCTTCAAATTTTGATTTGATAAGCACATGTACAATTGTGCTCGAAATAAAATTAAATTTAAAATTTAATTTTATTTCGAAATTCCTAATTTGCATATCATTATAAAAAAAGTCTACTAAGGCAAACTTTATCCTGTTTTTTAAGGAGCGTTTAATTCTAATTAGGACTTTTCACCGTGCTCTAATACCTAGATCCCCACCTTACCTGTATAACATTAATGTGAATCCTAACTTCAATACGTTATTATTATTTTAAAACTTTGAATATTAAAATTGCTTCCAGGTCATTTAAAATTTAATGTTCTTTTTGACTAATAAGACATTTCATTAATTGAACTTGAAGATGCCTTAATATTTTATTTGTGCTAACTAAATAAGTAAAACTACCAGACATTTGTAAAAAAAGTCTTAAAACACTCAAACACTCAAATTGTTTTATAACCTGAACTAAAACTTCACTTAAAATTTTATGTGCTAACTGAAGCCAACTAATGCCAACTAAATAAGTAAAACTACAATTTATGTGGAGATCGTTAGAACATTTAAAGTTTTTAAACATAAACAAAAAATTCTTCAATTATTTTATTTTTTCTCTATTTCATGTAAGACTCTTTTTAATATACTTTTTTATCGTATAAATTTATTTAAAATTATAACAATAGTTAATTTGAAATCTCGATATTAAAACAATAAGCTTTGAAAATAATCAAAATTAATGAACAAACAACATATTTTTTTAAAATTTAGTTAATATACATATTTAAAAACACTTGCCATACATGGTTATGTATGAAAGTTATTGAATATACATATTTAATATACAAATATACAGTTGCGCACATTTTTACGAGAATTATCAAATATGCATGCTTAAAAGTAGTTTATATATCATTAACTACTTTCAAGCAAAAAAACTTTCAAATATTTCGATACGTTTACCTACGATATATAAGTATAGTAACTTACGATACTTAAGTATACGGATACGACGTATACATTATGTATAAATCGTAAGTATCGCACCACGGTTACTGAGACCCAATTTTTTGGCAGAAAAAAAATTTTTTAAGCATTAAAAAAGATTTTTTTTTATGTAGCACTTTAAAGTAAACCCATCAAAGTTATAATAAACGTGGTCTTTTTTAAAATTAATAACTCAGTTTGTTTGTAATATGCACTCAAGAATATTTTTAACTCGGCTTAGTTTACAGGGAGTTAGCGTATATTGAGCTGATAATTTAATAATACATAACTTTTATATAATTGATATTTTTAATTTCTGTAAAGTGAATTATTTTTATACAGGTATATACTTTTTTTAAATATTTAATTAAATTAAAATATTGCATTAATATGTTATTTATGAATAAACAATAAACGCGCAGTAGTATTTTTTCTTTCGTTACTTTTTTTCAAAACTTTAAATTTACTTGTAAAAAAATCTCCGTATTTCTCCGAAAATATTTTTACACGATTAAATTTTGTTAATGTTCAGAAATATATTCTAATTTTCAAAACTTGCCTCTAGTTGCCCCAATTAAAAACATATTTGTTTGTTTACAGTAATGTACCGTTTCAAATACGAGGATTTATTTCATGTATGGCTGGAATAGAAAGATAAAAATGAGAAAAACTTTTTTTGAGCACGTCATTCAAATAGTTTTGTATGATATAACAGTAGTTATTAGCAATAATATTCAAATGAAAATTTGTAGTTTGTGCTATGCTTTTGAACGATAATGATTAGATAAGCAAAGAACAATGGGCCAATTAAAAAGTGAAAATTCAGATTGATTGAAAATAGAATTTACATTTACTGATGATGCAACTCCATCAACATCTTTTAGTCAGTCGATTTCATTAAGATCTTTTGGACAACCAAGTGTATGATACACCAAAAAATCAGATCGGGCCAAATGAAAGCATCAGAGTTATGTCGGAATAACTTGCACAAAACATCTCTTATATTGCAAGCAGCTAGTTTGGCACGTCAACAAAATACACGCGGTTTAGTATTGGTTGAAAAAGAATGGAACAAAAGTCCATTTTGGTCAACAAAAATTTAAAAAAATGATATTTTCACCTTAAAAAAGAAACAGTATGTTATCAGAAGAAGAATTAGAATTAATTTAACAACAATATCAAAACATTAAACAAGGAGCTGTTATCAAAACAAATATAAATGATTATCAAAACCATGTTACAAAGAGATTTGTAAATGTAAATTGGTATGCAGAACAAATGGTATATCTATAATGGTTTGAACTCAGAAGATAATAAGATTTTATGGAGCAATTACACTCCTCAATCTGTGTGGTTAATAGTAAAAAGTATGATATTGACAGACAAGTAAATAAGTTAGATCCAATAACGATTTTTTTTTGTCTAATAATAAAAAAATTAAAATCAGCTTTACTTTATTTATGACGCAAGTTGATGGCAATATTTTAAATATATTACCTGGAACAAATTCAAACCAAGCTTGTCCGATATGTGGAGCTACTCCCAATGATTTTGTTAAACTGTAAGAACTCAATATCACAGAATCATTGAAACCTAAATCTAACAATTTACAGTATGAGTTAATCTACTACATGCTTGGATACGGTTTTTTGAATGTGTCGCCCACATATCATATAGATATAAGTTGTAAAAATTGTTGGCACTAACAATAAAAAAATTGTTTTATGTCAAAAAAAAAGAAATACAACAACAGTTCTTTAAAAATATACACCTTTACGTGGATAAACCAAAAATAAGAGGTTTTGGAAGTACTAACGACGGCAATATTGCGCGCCGAGCATTTAAAAATGTCGAAAAATTTTCCGAAATAACTAACGTGGATGAAGACATGATTAAAAAGTTAAAAATTATTCTTATGTCCATCTCTTTCTCGTGTCAATAAATATATAATTCATAGAGCCTTAGATATCTCAGATCCTACCATTTCCAGTATTAATTTACAGAGAAGAATTTAAACTCATCGTAAGTTCCCTCCTCGTTCTGAGGTATTTAGTTTACTAATAGAAATACCATCCAATACCTCGCAACATCAACATAGCGAAAACGAAGAAAGTAGTGAAAGCGAAGACGACCACGACAATGAATCTTTTAATGAGAACTTATTTTCTGTTAACTATTTAGATTTCATTTAATTGGATAATAAAATCCTGTTGATATTTAACTGATTTTTTCATTATGAATTTATCTTATAATATTTCTTTATAATAGATTTGAAACAAATATAACTGTATATAAAATATATCTATATATTGAATGTATATAAATATATTAAATATACTAAATGTATTAAATATAAAATAATAAATATATAAACTAAATACATGTTATATATATATATGTATACATATATATATATATATATATATATATATATATATATATATATATATATATATATATATATATATATATATATATATATATATATATATATATATATATATATATATATATATATATATATATATATATATATATATATATATATATAAATCATATAAAATTTACTTATAACACATTTAGAACATTTTACGTATATTAGGTAATAAAAATCATTAGTTATTTAGTGTTTAAGTTGAAGTTATTAATTTATGCCAATAATTCGGGTCTCAGAAACTACATCATAAGAATAAGTAAACTTACGTACGCTTACATGCTTATGTATGTTTATGTAAGCATACATAAATTTATGTATGCTATGCCTACATAAAATTATGTGTGGTATATTAAATACTAATACTTTTGTAACATAAGTATCGGTATTTAATACAATCTTCTTGTTAAAAAAAAGCTTTAGTTTTGCTTTTTCAATTTTCTTTAAATGTTTATTATGTTTGTGTATCGATCAATCAATTTTATCGATCAGTTTTGATTATATTTATCGACCAGTGTCGTTTATTTATCAATCGATTATCGTCGTCGTGATGACCTTTTAGAGCTAAATAATTTTCCACTTTAAATTGGAAAAAAAAAGAAGAGAAACAAAAATAACAAAATTTTAAGTCAACTAGTTTGCTGGTTGTTATGAAAATAATTCCAATAAAATTCATATGCACATCGTTTGCAAAATTGCTCGAAATACTTTGTACTTAGACAAATAAAAGACTCGCGGTAAAC